AAGGCAGTCGCTTAACCAACTGAGCCACCCAGGCGCCCTGAAACTGTAAGAATTCTTTAGCAATGCCGTGAATTAAGAACAGGGCTAGAAGGATTATGGCAAACTTCAGTCATACATAAGAGATATAGGGGAGCAGGAGTGTTGAGCAAGTTGAAGAAACCAACTTAGAGGAAAGTAGAGGATGAGGAGGAGGGGGAGAGAACATAACTGACTAATAACATGGCACGTGAAAAAGACAGGTGGACCTGCAAGTTACCTCAATGTCTACAGAGTTTTCAGTACCAATTCTGTCCTTTCCTTCTTACAAAAAGACCCTTTTATTTTTTGCCTGTCTTTGCCACTATAAAAACTCAATTGCTGTAGTTACTATAAACAGTGCTGAGGCAAATGGCTTTATAAATAAAACTTTCAGAATATTGTGATTCTTTTCTGAGGTTAAACTACTATAATGGGGTATGCATGTCTTTTTTTTTTTTAAGATTTATTTATTTATTTGAGAGAGAGACTATGAACGGTAGGGGCAGAGGGAGAGGAGAGGGAGGGAGAATCTCAAGCAGACTCTGCACTGAGTGTGGAGCCTGACAGGGGTGCCATCCCACAACCCTGAGCTCATGACCTGAGCTGAAATCCAGAGTCAGACGCTCGACCCACTGAACCACCCAGGAGCTCTGGGTGTGCATACTTTTAAGGTTTTAGATAGAGTTTCACCAGATTTCTCTTTAGAAAAGTATTTGATAGTTTTCCAACCAGTTTTCAGTGGGAAGTGTTTAAATTCTTCAGACCATAGTCAAGATTAGCTATCATTTTAAAGCTTTCATTGGTGGTTTCCTTTTTATTTTATCCTTTCTTATTAGTGATGTCAAATTTTTTTTTTGTCTCTCTGTATTTATTCCTTCTTTTTTGATTTGCTGTGGTGATGATCTTTGTCCACTTAAAAATTGGTCTGTTTTCTTATTGATTTGCATGACCAGATATTAAAAATATATTACAAAACTAATAAAAATTGGCACAAGACAGTACAAACACATGAGTAGTTAGGAATATCAGTAGGCATGAAGAGAAAAAAAAACAGAATGAAGCCCTAGAATATATACAAATTTAATAGGTAATTTAAATAAAATTTCAAATTAGAGAGATTATAAATGAGGTTAAGGCAAATAATAAACCATTCTGAAGAAAATGACATTAGAACTCAGCACACAGTAATGATTCTGAATGAATAAATGATAAAAGGGGGAAAAAAAGAATGCCAGCCTCATACTGTATACACTCCACATTCCCCTAGATTAAAGGGGAATTAAATAAAAAACAACATCTACTAGAAAATACCAGAGAATGATTTGATATTATACTGAGAAAGGTCTTATAAAATATTTAAGTAAAGTTAGAAACCGTAAAGGAAAGGAATAACAGATTTGAATATATAAAAATGCAAATATAGCAAAAAAAATTACTAAAATCAAAAGAAAGAAGAGGCAAGAAATAAACCAGGCAAAAATATTACATATATATATTATATATTTATATATGTTATGTAAATAACATGACATAAATTAATAAAAGTGAAAAGTTGAAAGTGAACAGGGATAGAAAAAGAATAAAAACCTGCTATGTTAACTATTATCACTATGTTGAATATTAGATACCCAGAACTTACTCATTTTATAACTGGAAGTTTGTACCATTGGACCAACGTCTCCTCATTTCTCCCACTCCCCAACCTCTGGAAACCACCATTCTACTCTCTGTTTCTGAGTATGACATTTTTTTTTTAAGATTCTACAGTAAATGAGATTATATGGTATTTTTTTGTCATACTTATTTTACTTAGAATAATGCCCTCAAGGTCTATGCATCTTGTTGCAAGTGGCAGGATGGTTGTTCAGGAGTGTGTTGTTTACTTTTCTTTCTTTCTTTCTTTCTTTAGTTATTTGTAAAGATTTTATTTATTCATTTGGTAGAGAGAGAGAGAGAGAGAGCACAAGCAGGTGGAGCAGCAGGGAGAGGGAGAGGGAGACGCAGGCTCCCCGCCAATCAGGGAACCCGATGTGGGGCTCGATCCCAGGACCCTGGGATCATGACCTGAGCCAAAGGCAGACGCTTAACAGACTGAACCAGCCAGGCGCCCCTGTTGTTTACTTTCTACATTTTTAGGAATTTTCCACTTTTCCTCTTGTCACTTATTTCTAGTTTCAAAGCATTGTGGTTGGAAAAGATACTAGGTATGATTTCAGTCTTAAATTTGTTAAGTCTTGCTTTGTTGCCCAACATAAGTTGTGTCCTGTAGAATGTTCTGTGTGTGCTTGAGAAGAGTTATGTATTCTGCTACTGTTACATGGGCTGTTCTGTTTATGTTTGTTAGATCCATTTTGGTCTATAAAGTTCTGTAGGTCTGCTGTTTCCTTATTAAATTTCTGTGTGTATGGTCTATCCAATGTTGAAAGTAGGGTATTGAAGTCCACTACTATTATTGTATTGTCTGTTTCTCCCTTCAGTTTTGTTATTATTTGCTTTAAATATTTAGGTGCTCCAGTGTAGGGTGCATAAATATCTAAAATTATTATATCCTTATGATGAATTGATTCCTTTATTCCCTTTTCATGACCTTCTTTGTCTCTTGCAACCAGTTTTGACTAAAAGTCTATTATATGTGATATAAGTATAGCCATTTACATGGAATATCTTTTTCTGTCCCTTCACTTTCAACCTGTGTGCCCTTACCAGTAAAGTGAGCCCCCCTTTTTTTAAATCTATTCAGTCACTTTTTGTCTTTTAATCGGGAATTTAGTTCATTTATTTTTAAAGTAATTATTGATAGGTATTGATTGCCATTTCATTGTTGACTGTTTTTCAGTTCTTTTGTTCCTTTCCTCCTCTCTTACTGTCTTCCTTTGTGATTTATTTTTTTGTAATATGTACTTTTGCATGTCTACTATGTTTCTTCTTTTGTGGTTATCATGAGGCTTATATAAACCATTTTGTAGATATAACAGTCTATTTTAAGCTAATAATAACTAACCTTCAATTGCATGCATAAGCTCTACACTTACTTCTCTCATATTTTAAACTATTGAAGTCATGCTTTGCACCTTTTTATATTGTGCATCCATTAATAAGTTATTAGTTATTTTTATTTTTTTAAGTTTTATACTAGAGATAAAGTGACTTACATATCACCATTACAGTATTAAGGTATTTTGAATTTGACTATGTATTCCCTTTTACCATGGGTTTTATGGTTTTATATGTTTTCATATTGTTAGTGTCCTTTCATTTCAACTTGAAGAATTTTCTTTAACATTTCTTGTAAGGCAGGGCTAGTAGTGATGAACTCTTTTATCGTTTGTCTGGGAATGTCTTTAACTCTCTTTCATTTCTGAAGGACAGTTTTGCCAGGTATAGTATTCTTGCTTGGCAATTTTTTGTCGTAGTTCAGCACACTGGCTATATCATTCCACTTTGTTCTGGCTTGGAAGGTTTCTTTAGAGACATCCATTAATAGCCATATGGGATTCCTTTGTATGTGATGTGTCTTGCTGCTTTCTTTTCTTTCTTTCGAAATTCTCTCCTTGTTTTTGTCTTTTAACATTTGATTATAATGTGTCTCAAAGTAATTTTTGGGTTGATCTTTCATGGAGTTCTTTGAGCTTCCTGTACCTGAATGTCCATATTCTCCCAAGATTTGGGGAGATTTCAACTATTATTTCTTTAAATAAACTTTCTACCACTTTCTTCTTCAGGGACTCCTATGATATGAATGTTTGTTCATTTAATGGCGTCCCTTAATTCACATAGGCTTTCTTTACTCTTTTTCATTCTTTTTTTGGTGTTGTTGTTTCTCTAACTGGCTAATTTCTTTCTTTTTTTTTTTTAAGATTTTATTTATTTGAGAGAGAGAGAGAGAGAGAGAGCGTGTGCACAAGCATGGGGAAGGGCAAAGGGAGAGGGAGAAGGAGACTCCCTGCTGAGCAGGGAGCCAGATGTGGGGCTTGATCCCAAGACTCTGGGAATCATGACCTGAGCTCAGACGCTTAACCCACTGAGCCACCCAGACACCCCATCTAACTGGCTAATTTCAAACGATCTGTCTTTGAGTTTGCCGATTCTTTCTTCTGGATGAGTAAATCAGTTCGTGAAGCTCTCCATTAAATTTTTCATTTCTGTCAATGTATTCTTCAACTCCAGGATTTCTGTTTGGTTCCTTTTTATGGTTTCTACTTCTTTATTAAGCTCATTCTGTTCATTCATTGTTTTCCTGATTTTTTTTAGTAGTCTGTATTCTCTTTCATTTCATTCACTTTCTTTATGATGATTATTTTG